CGTTCAAGGTTGTTCAAGGCAAGCGAGACCTTTAGCTGCACATGTCTTTGTTCAATTATTATAAAGTTATTTAAGAGTCATTTTTAAAAAGCAACTCCTTAAAGGGATGTTTAAAGCCATGTCTGCTAGAAAGTTTTATTTTCGTTCGACCAAAAATTGTATGAACGTCTCCTGTCACGAGGTCCACGAGCAATTCCCTAAAACGTACGGGCTTTATAGAACTCATTTTAACACCAAACAGCGTTACCAACTCGGTTTTTTTTTTAATTTTCGGTGTTACAGAAAGAAAAGTGTAAACAGACAGGCATAAAAATAACCCGATCGTTTAGGTTTTATAATTTAACCGGTATTTGTTTTCATTTGTATATCGTGCATTATTAGCTCAAAATATACATGACGGCGTGGTGTGGGCTCATGTTTATCATATCTTAATATGCAGAAGGTTTCATACTACCACAATGGATCTGATAATGTAGAAGAAATTCGGTAATTTTAGTCTGTTGAATTGAACGCTACTAGGCTCTAAAAATACAGCATCGGTAACATGAGAAAAGCGATATAGTCACGCAACGATATAGTCACCCGGTCGCCCATTCACTGCCATATCGAAAAGGTCATGTCGCAGCTGTCTTGTGGAACTTTTCAATCAATTATTGGAAGAGATCTTTTCTTAAAACTGCCTGAATTTTACCAAAAGATATCTCATAACTCTCATTGGTTGAAACTACATCTGAGAAGTCTGCATGACCACTCATGGGTCACGCCCTCCTCAATTTTGATTTGTGTTTTACCCTTTTGCAAAAACGACGAGTATTTACAGCGGGAAAAGAGAGAAGGAGTACACTTAAAGAAAATTTACGTATGTCAGTTCAGAAAAATCCTCAGCTTTTGTCGAGTGTTTCAACAAAATTTGACAACCATGGCTCAGTATAGGACTAATAGAACTGCAATTGTGATGCAGGGCTGCCCCTTAGAGCTGGGGGCCCGGGAATTTTCCCCTGCTACAATGAGCGTGAGCTCTGGCTACTCTTATAGGAAACAAAAGGAAAATAGAACCAAAACAACTTCCTAGCTGTACAATTCCCCTCCTAATTGGATATACCCAGTAACATGAAATTTAAGTGACAGCCCTGGTGATGTGTTCTAGTGCCTTTAATGTCAGGTCATGTTTATGTCAACTTTGTGGCGGATTTGCATAAATGTGGCTAAATGTAATTTTGGCGAGGTTAAACATGAGACAATGCTGGCGAGCGGTCTCCACCACTTATCGTATGTGGGGTGGTCTTGGGGGGCCTTAGTGATGTTACAGCGCTATCGCAGAAGTCAATCATTTTGCTCACATTGCTTTTGCGTGCAGTAGTTCTCCCTATTTGTGGGCTTTTTGATTTAATATATGTCTACTTTAAATAACTTGAGTGTGAGTGCGTGCAGTGTAATCATTTGTCAAAACGACTACTTCATGAGTTAGTAAAACAATGTGAATAGATGGTACATGTAGCTACAAATAAATCTTTTTTTTTTTTTACTGCCAACAGAGTTGGTGTATTTAGTTTTTTTTAGTTTTGATTTTCTTGTAAATTTGTGTTTACTCCAAATAAACATGATGAATTCTGGTGTTGATCAGTTCTATAAAAGGTGATCTGTATTGATCCAATATTGAGCACATTTGATCATTCATGGTTTCTGCAGTGGTTCTGAAAAGATTTAACATATCACTTTTGCAGTACTTTTTGTTTGATAATCGAACCAATTTTTGAGAAGGAGCCATTTTTTCTCAGATTTAGATAATGTGATTACTTCTTTTGACAAAAATTCAAACTTCAAATCCATAGCCTTCCAATTTTCTCAGCTCTGTTTTTTTCTTCCTTCAATGTTCAAGCATGGTAATGGAGATAGATAGATCAATATAGTGATTTTAATTAACCTGTGATATAGGCAGAAGACTACTATTTGTCCCATATGAGGGAATCCAGATTCTGGGAAATTGCGTGTGGAATCTGGAATCCTGGGCTTTGGGATCCAGAATACAGCTCAAGGAATCCGGAACCCCACCAATGATTGGAATCCAGAATCCAAGTTGCACCGACAAAAACTGGAATCCAGTACCTGGAATCCGGAATCCACGGCAGGCTGTCTTGGATTCCCTTACATCGGGGCGACTTCTATGCAACGTTGCACCCTAATTTCATTGCTTTCTTTTGTTTACTAGGAACCATTTGGAACTATAATAAATATTCTATGTGTTAAGGTCATTAAGTAAAAACACTTTAACTTTGTCTTTTATTCTACAGAGTACCTTTTCAAAGACTCTATGGCTGTTAGGAACCAAGCCCCTTCATTGCAGCTCAGTCTTGA